ATTAAGTTAAATATGTCTTAAAAAACAACATGAATGTTGTTCAGCATTAAAAAGGAAATTTGGACACATGTTACACGCTGAGTGAAATAAACCAGTCACAAGGGGACACATACTATGCAGCTCCCCTTGTATGATCCATCTAGAATAGTCCAATTCAGAGAGAGAGATTAGAACAGTGGTGGCCAGTGGTGGCCAGGGGCCAGCGGAGAGCTCAGAAGTTACAGTCTAATGGGTACAGAGCTTCTGTCTGAGATGGGGACCGTGGTGATGGTTATAGACCATCATGAATGTATTTATGCCACTTAAAAACAGCTAAAGCAGGGCCAGTGGGTGGTGAGAAGGTTAAGCCACGGGGTCCCACATGACTATCTCATGGTTCGAGTCCCGAACCCAGCAGCTTGAAAATCCCAGTGGGCACACGTGTGTGCATGTGTGCCCCAAATCTGAAGAGAAGACAAGAAGGGATTGCAGCACAGCCATTCCCCCTCGGGGTGATTTCTCACTTCCCCTCTCTCTGTCTCTCTGTCTCTCTCTGCTGAGCACATGCACCTTATACAAAAACTACCAAAAAAGAGAAAGGTTGAAATTTTATGTCTATTTTACCACAATAAAAAACTCATGACAATGGGAAGACTAATACGTAAAAATGTATATCAACAAGGTGGTGACCTATTTGAAAAAAAAAAAAACACAGCAGTGTTTCTGTTTACTCATATTAAGAAGGTATTTCTTTGTAAATTAACTGAAATAAGAGAAATCAGCTCTCTGTGGAAGTGTACATGGCTTTGTCTCACAAACAGCGAACTGGAAAATTGCTCTCTTGAACGCTGATTCCCAAGGAAGAAAGTTGAGCGCTTCAGCTCTGTTATTTATGAGCTTCAGTCCACGGCTGTCTGCTAGTCGGTGACATATCGGGAAACGACTTAGAAATCAATTTGGAGTTTTCCCTGTCACTTGCTGACCGCAGAGGTGGCCCCATCAAACTCCCATCCGCTCCAAGGAAACCGTAAATGCGGGGAGGGGGCAGGGCCGGCAATGGACGGGTGGCTGGGGCGACTCCGTTTGACAGGTGACGGTGACAAAGTACGCTGTGTCATTCTAGCTCACATTCCCATCAAGGTGAGGTGGGGACTCTGCCTCCCAGCTCAGTCGGACCAAATGGAATTTACAAAGGAAAAACTGGTCATAAAAGCGAGACAAATGGCGACATCCTTGACACAGATGACAGCACGGACAGAGGACTTGCAGAAGCCACCGCGCAGGAGAAGGTCAGGGCTTCTTAGCCAAGACTGGAAGAGCTGGAGCCAACGGGAGTCTGCAGACCAGCCGCCGAGGAGGCTGTTCATAGAACAAGGCCTCTAGCAGCCCCAGACAGTGGCCCCACAGTCACCTTTCTTTTTCTTTTCCTTTTAAAAATTACCAATTTAATTTTATTTATTATTAAGTTTGCTACAGGCACATGTGCTCACCAGAGACAGAGAGAAAGTAAAAAAGCAAGCCAGCAGGTCCTGGACTCGAACTACAGTCAGCCATGTAGGAGTCCAGTGCCTTAACCACCTTGCCACCTATTGGCCCCTCTTTTTTTTTTCTTTTTTTTTTTAATTGCCAGAGGGCACGTGTGCTCACCAGAGAGGCACAGAGAGGGAAAGGGACAAATCATCCCCCACAATGTGACATGGTCACCTTTAACCCCTTCTCCATTTCTTCATCCTGTCGGGATTTTAGGCCAGCACACATGTGCAGCATGTTTTTCCAGCAGGGTCCAGGATTCAAACTGCAGAGCTGGCCATGTGGGACCCAGCTCCCTTCACCACCAGGCCACAGGGCTAGTCCATACAATCACATCCTTACCATGCGACGGGATTCTGGAGAGTCTGGGAATGCTCAGCCACCCCCCGGGGATCTGTGAGGGTCACTGTTGTGTGCCATCAGGGCTAGCCCGAGTGACCCCAGGTCCTGCAGGGCCGTGTACAGGTCAGAGGGTCAGAGGCTGAGAGCCTTCCCACCCCTTCTCCTGGAGCAGCGGCTTGATGCCCGAGCAGACCTGACACTGCCCTGCTCACCTCCTGTCTGCAAATGAGACACCAAGGTCAGGTGACAGGACGGGCTGGGGACAGCGGGGAGTCAGCCCAGGGCGCCCCGCTTTCCCTGCACTTTACTCCCGCGCCCCACGCGGCCTGTGGAGTGGCGCGCATCGCTTACTGCTCTGGCTCCACGCGATCTCACTGAACTAATTTACAACCCTGGGCTGCAGCTGAATTACGGCTGTTTGTTTGCCTTCCTCAGTTGCAAGCTAAGGAGAAGCAGGCTTCATTAACTCGCGGCTTTATCTCCGAGCGTGTTAACAAGCCTTGGGATGGTGCTCCAGACAGTTAGCTTTTTTGAGAAGGTGAAAGGGCCTCTAGTCCATATGGTCTGGATTCTTGTACATTTTCATTGCAAACGCTAAGGTTGACAGATCCGCTAAGAGTAAATGGGGTGTTAGTTAATGTCTAATTACTGCGGACACCAGCCACAGCCCATTTAGCTGAGCTGGCCCCGTCCTCGCCTCTGCCAGCTCACACTTAGCACGTTCATTTACACGCTCCTCTCTCTCAGCCACTTGGACCGTCTCTTGCCTTTGTAATAGTTGCACGATTCAATCAGAGCAAATCTACCACCTCTTTCCAGCGAGGTTTTTATTTACTTTATTATTTTTTTAATTGCCAGAGAGTGCACGCACTCTCCTGATAGAGGGAGAGAGATGCCGCCCCCACCCATGGGACATGGTCACACCGCAACCTTTTTCTCCTCTTGTCTATCCTGTCAGGATTTGGGGCATGTGCACGCACATGCCTGGCATGTTTTTCAAGCTACTGCGGACTGGGACTCAAACTGTGGCCAGCCAAGTGGAATCCTTCTCCCTTTGCACAGGGCTTACCCCACTGCACTATGGGGCTGGCCCTCCCGTCAAGTTTTTGTGCCTTCTAAAGGCCTCATCTCACTCTCCTTTCTTATTCTCTAATATGCTAATGGACCTTAGCATAAAAACTGAGGAAAGAATTGAGAAGTTGCTGCTTCATATGTTAAAAATTATTTATTATTATTTGTTAAGTTTGCTACAGGGCCCGTGCACTCAACCAGACAGAGAGACAGAGAGAGGAGGAAAGTGAGAAAGCAAGCGACCAGGTCCAAGGCTCGAACTGCAATTGGCCATGCATGAGTCTAGGGCCACCTGCTGGTCCCAGCATCATGATATTTTTAGTGTTATATTTATTTCTTCTATGAGAGAAAATCACCCTCACCTGGCTCTCATGCCACAATCCTTGCCAGTCTTTCAACCCCACCAGCCAGGATCAGGGGCGCACGCCCGGCTGTGACCAGGGAACTGAACCCATGACCTTCCGTGGCCGCAGCACTGTTGAGCAGTGCACTAATACACCACCGGGCCGGCTCACTCGTGATGTTCTGAAAGCAACACTACAGTTTGAGGACAGCCGAGCCTGCACGGGTTCCTGACTCTCGTGTGGTCAGTGAAGAGCCAGGCGGGAATCTGCAGATGGGGCAGTGCTGGCCTGGAGTCCACTCAGCCTCCAGGAAAGCCACCCCGGCACAATGGTCCATTTTTCTAACTGAAACACAAACGAGTCAGGACGCTGCGCCTCTACCGCATGGAGGTGGAATCTAGGGGCCCAGCTGGCATGCAGACTGGTTAGAGCGGCCGGAGAGGTTACTCGTTAACACACCCTTCCTGGGGCTAGCGCGGCACCCGCGATGGGAGAACCTGAGGTGCTGGGGAATCAACAGGACTGCCCGGCGCCTGCTGCCAAGGTTCTGGGAGATGAGGTAAAACTTAACAGGTGAGATTAAACAAACGGCATCCCTCGAGCATGCTCGGGTTAGGCGGCCACGGGCAGCAGGCTTACCTACAGGCATTCCGGGCCGGTCGTGGAGCCTCGTGATGCAGGAAATGGGATCTCACACGGCTGACGGTCTGGACCTCAGCTCTGGCGGCGTGGGTAACACGTGAGACGGGGAGTACAAGTGTGTGCCCAGACCCCCCGGGATGGAGAACGCAGAAGGGATGGTGGCCGACACGCACCTCCAGAGAGCTTCCTCCTTCCCTCTCTCTCACTCTGGTGAGCACACACCCTCTGGCAATTTCCAAGTCCTGGATCCAGAGGCTTCAAACTCACGCCGGGTGCGTGTGCGTGCGTGCCCAACTTCCCAAGAGCAGACTGGAGAAGGGATTGCGGCATGGCCATCCCCCCGGGGGTGATTTCTCACTTTCTGTCTCCCTTGCCTCTCTCTAGCAAGCGCATGTGCCTTATAGCAAAAATCTCTCTAAAAGAAGAAGGAGGAGGAGGAGGAGGAGGAGGAGGAGGAGGAGAGGAGCACCTGACTGGGCCTAAGCAAAAATCTCTCTTAAAAAAAGAAAAAGAAAAAGAAAAAAAAGAGCACCTGACCGGCCTAAGCACACCAGCACACACTGGCTGAGGCTGCTTGGCACAAGGTCACGCGGGAGGTCTAAAAAGCGGGGCATGGTGGCATGCATGTGCAGTCCCAGCTACCCAAGAGGCAGAGGCAGGAGGATCATAATATAGCGAGACACTGTCTAAAAAAGAAAAACAAACGAAAATAAACCCAAACACGAGCACTTGGTAAAAAGAAATATGTAAGCAGAAATCAGCAAACTCCTCGGTCAGGCCGGGCCTAGAGGTTAAGGGAGCCAGACCCCACATGGCTGATCAGTTCAAATGCCAGCCCTCATGGCTTGAAAAACATACCAGTTTGTTCATGTGCCCCAAATCCCAACAGGATGGAGAAATGGAGAAGAGGTATGTGTGACCATGCCCCACTGCGGATGCATTCTCTCCTCCCTGTCTCTCTGGTGAGAGCGCATGCCCTCTGGCAATTAAGAAAACAACAAAAAAAGAAATCTCCTTGTTATATTCCTCAGAGCTTGGTTAGTCCACAGGTAACAAAATCATTTTTTTATTAAAGAACAAATGACAAGAAAGAACAAAGAATTAAAAGAATTTTAATAAAATCAACAAGTTTACATTTTTACATCTTGTGTATCAGGGACCCAATCAGGGGTGAAGGATGAAGTTTTCTATAGAAGAACAAGCAGAAAGCCAGGGCGGCCTCGCTGTGCAATGGCACCCCAGCTGACGGCACGACCCCGCAGCCACCTCGCCTCGTGTTCTGCAGTTCACTGGAGGACCGTCCGAGCTCTGGGCTCCGGCCCAGTGCACCACGGCCTACGTGACGCTCCTACATCAACACGGGACAGGCCACGCCAGGTCAACACTCCGTCAAATGAAATAATATTGCCCATAGAATCTGAACGTAAGCTGGCTCGCTCCATGCGGCTTTAATGAGAATGGTTACACTGAATCTAACGAGGGGAGAAGGGGCCGAGTGACGGTTCTAATTGCTCTACTCAACCGCACGGCCACACGACAGCAGGCCTGTTAGAAAGAAGCGTGTATTTCCCTTGAAGATATGAACGGAGGAAAGGGCCTTGTAGGAGGGAGAGAAGCATTAGAGAAGGGTACGGTTTTAACACCTGGGGCCACCTGCACGTTGTCAGAGAATACTGCGTGTGTCGAAGCACTTGGTGCAGACAGGAAACTGCTCAACTGCCACCTAACAGGTGACGCACAGCTCAAAATATTGATCAATGTTCAGAGGACAAAAGAGATTAGTGTCCCAAAGTTAGGGATGAGCAACCAAAAGGCTCTTTAGAGATGGTGCCCATTGGGTACAGAGAAACAGAGCTTTTGGAAGTGCAGTGTTGCATATACCGGTGACTTGCCCTCGGAGAGACACGACGTCCCTCTCGCAAGCCTTAATAGAAATATACGCAATAATGTGACCAGTGTGTGGCAGCCACCCACAGGGCAGAGCTCCTGACTGGGCTGAGTTCATCCCGATGTCCACAGCACACCGTTCAGCTCCTAGGAGAGATTCTTCAGCACTTATTTTAGATCATCAAATACGTAGTCAGGCAAAAACGGTGCCATTTCCCTCAGACAATGCACGGATGCTTTCGTCTCTCGGTTCACTTAGAATCGCAGAAGGGAAAAGACTCGCTGGCCATTATGAGTACCGGAAACAGTGTAGAGAGCAAGCTCTTCCCTCACGTCCAGGAGGCTGGGGCTGATGAAGAGGGGGAGTACTCAGGGTCCTCTCCTGTCACCCACACAAGCCAATGCTTGTTTCCCAGCGTAATAGGGGCTTTGTTCTTAGTTCTAATAGAATCAATGAGCGCGATGCAGAAATTCAAGAGGGCAGTGAAGTAACAGCTTCTGCCTGTCAGCGATATTACCCAGAAACACCCAGGGAGTCCCTGAGTCTGTGATGAACGAGAGGCCTTTCTTTCTGTGTTCAGGAACCCTCAAGGCAGGCGTGTAAAGTGCTGGGAGATTAGGTGCCTGCCTGGACCCCTCTAGGGTGTGCACAAGCACCTGCGGAAAGACCGCCCGCCTCCGTCCCACGCCAGGGCAGCTGCACACACCACCGGCCCTGCTGCGCTCGAGGTCGAGACTGGCCTCTCCTGGAAAGAACACTCCGACTGCGCTCACATTTCCCTTTTAATTCCCCGAGGATTCCACAGGAGGTACAGTTAAACGAGCACAGACATCCCGAATGAGTAAGACAGGTGGATTTCTGAACCAGAGGAAAAACTATGAAGAGGATACAAATTCAAATACAAATATGATGCAAACATGTTCACCGCGGCGTTTCCAATCAGCAGGTGACGCCATAGCGTCAGGTCACGCCTGGGCACCCCCCCCCCAGATCTCGTCACAACAGGGAGAGCAGCTTCTCTCCGGGAGCCTCAACACCGTCACTAAATGGAACTGTACTCGCGAGGCAGCCGGAAGCATCTGAACTTACCCAGCCCCAAAAGGGAGTGCTTGGGTCAACAAGCAGCATCTTTAGGGGTTGAGTGCTGGGTGGGAGGTAAGAAGAAATGAAACTCTCTCCCTCAGGTCTGCTAAGGGCACCCATGGGGTCCAGGAGGCCAGTGTGGGGACGGAGCTGCCAGCGGCTGAGGCCTATGTGTGGAGACCGCTGCCCACCATGGGCCCTGCACTGGGCCACGTGCGTGGCCAAGAGGGGACTGCAGCTCTGAGCCCCACCAAAGCCACTAGTATCCAGTGCAAGTGCTTGTCTGAAGAAGGGGCGCAGGGTGGTGGGGGTGCCCACCAGAGTCTGGACTGCCCAGGGAAGACACACCTGTCTTCCAAGGTACAACTTTGCCTTGGATCACTGTGCACCCGGACAAGGGAACGCTTGCAGGTCTCGAGGGGACTTTCCAGGACATTCACACTGAGCAGTCAGCAGGGAGGAGTCTGTTCCACGGGCCGGAGGTCTCCCGGCCCCCAGGCACCTTCCCTTGGTCCCGGCTGCCACGGCGCGACGCTGTCTGCTCTGTGCAGGCGGCAGGCTCAGTGAAGAGCGGGGAGCTCCCTGGTGCCCTCGGGACGAGCTTTTCAAGTCCGCGTGCCAGGGCCAGGTGAGCGGGGGTCCGTGTGTCTGCTGGCGGCACAGTGGGTGTGCACGAGTCCACCGTTCGGGTATCTAACAAACACGGGCTCGCCGAAGGGGTTTTGGCACATCTGGCAAAGTTTTTTGTCTGAGAGCCGAACGGCGTTTCCTTTCAACTTCATCTGCAAAAAGAAATCAGACCGAGAATTCCGTCACCACGGTTACAGGTGAAGGAGCCACCGTGTAGCTGCAGTTGACACACATTTCCCCAGGGGGCGCTACTGCTGGTGAGGCTCGCTTTAATGTCCATTTCTTCAAAGACGTCAGAGGTGAAAACAAACCAAATTATTCCTAGTAACTGGAGAAGGAAACAAAGACTAGGCTGCTTTTCTGATTTTACGAGAGGAACTGCTGCCTCTCTCGGTCAAGCGTTTCTAGCCAAGACCCTCCCTCCAGTGTTCTCTGAGCCCAGATCGTCCCGAGCAGGGCCTGTCACACTGAATGGGACTGTGTCGGTCATCTGGTCTTAAATTTGCAAATGAGAAAGGGGAAGCTTACGTAACGGACTTAGTCAAATCACGTGGGTAGTTTGTGGCATGTCCCTGACTAGTTCTGGGTTAACTCAACTTCATTTCTCCAGAGGTGACGGGGGAATCCACTGCAAGGCTCTCAGTCCCTGTCTGACTAACAGGGCGTGAGTCTGGCAAGTTAAAGTCTTCCTGCACGGCTCAGCGTGTCAGCCCCGGGGAGTCCGTCTATATCTACGGGCAGGGACACGCAGAAACTCTGTGCCTTCTGCCACTTGACAGCTGCATCGGTCACTCAGCACACATTTACTGAGCACCCTCGACACACCGGGCTTGCCCTGGGGACATCGGAACAGACGAATGACGCTCCCTGCCCTGCAAAGTCCAGGAATGAAGGGAGACCACGATGAAGCTATGCAGAAAGGGGGCAGATGGACAAAAGAGAAGATCTGCCAGCCTATGGCGTGTGACGTGGTTTCACCCAAGAACAGATACTCAGGCTGGGTCTGACGGGGGTTTACTGACACCATGGAAAGGTGGGAGTATTTCAGGCAATGGGAACAGCGTGTCCTAGGCAAGCGGGTATTAAAAACATGCGACACGTGGGAGGTTCAGTGAGATCACGCCAGGATTCATGCTGGGAAGCGTTGGGGGGCAGGGCAGGGTTGGGGCTTAGGAGTGAGACCACATCCCCAGGCATCCCCAGGCCACGTGAGCCAGTGCAGGCTTCCTGAGGGCAGAGAACCCCTCACACTCCTGCTCTGCAATATAACTTTGCCAGCCTCCCGGAGCTTGGACCTGGTGAGAAAGAGGTTTCCAGAGGGGCAGGACAGCATGGGGTTCTGGGGAACAGCAGTTAGCATAATGGCTATGTCGCTGGACTCCCATATAGTTGACTGCAGTTTGAGTTCTGGACCTGGTGATTTAAACTCATGCCGGGCACGTGTGCATGCGTGCCCAAGATCCCGAGAGGAGAATGAAGGAGAAGGGATTGCAGCGTGGCCATCTCCCTGGGGGGGGGTGATTTCTCGCTCTGTCTGTCTCTGTCTCTCTGGCAAGTGCACAAGCTCCATAGCAAAAACCTCTCGAGCAAAAAAGAACTGGCCTGGGAGGCATCTCTGGCGTCTCCTCTTGCTGACCCTGTGACTGTTCTGGGTGTCGGTGTCCTCTTTAGTGAAATGGAGACAGAATAGGTACGTCTGGCGCGACTGCCGTGATGGCTGCATGATGGCATGCCAAGGCCGCAGGAAGGTCCCTGCATGGTGCAGGTGCTCACAAAGGGCCTGCTGCTTCCAGGCCATGCGCCTTCCCTCGGCTGCCCACCTGCCGGCGTCAGGGAAGAAAACCTGTACCGACTTTCACTGAAAGCCCAGCCTCTGCACCTCCTCTCAGACCTCGGCTTCCATGAGAGGATCCAGAAACGGTCATGGAAAAATGGAATTAAAGGATGGGTTTATTTTAGTGCAAAAACATTTGAAATTCAGGCAGTTTTCTATCATACTCATTCTTTTTTCCCCTTTTTTATATGCTCACCTCAACACAATTATTTACAGCTATTTTCGAGTTATCGGAGGCATTTTCCATGCGCTTTCTGAAGACCCCTCCTTTCTAAGTAGCTAGGTATCTAATGTACTGACGTTGTGAAGGTAAAAAAACGGACGAAGCCTATTTTCTCCACAGACAGAGGCACCCCTGAGCTCCCTGGCGGCACTCACCTTCTCGCACGTGTAGATTAAGTTTTCGGCCCTGGCCAGACCGACAGCCACCTGCGCGGTCCTCCGAGCGTGAAGGCTGCCCCTCATGGCTCCAGCGAGGAACGGGCGGAGGAGCTGCACGGACCAGCTGCCCGGCAGCAGCTGCAGC